TGTTGATCTTTAAGGGGCCCTCATCTGTGTGTGTGTGTGTGTGTGTGTGTGTGTGTGCGTGTGCGTGTGTGCCCATTTGTGAACGTGTTATGTGTTTCAATCTTGCTTCATGCAATGACCAGCAAAATTCCCTACTCCAGTCCCCTGGAGACCTTTAGGAATTCCAGGCCAATCTAACATCTGACCGAGCCATTGGTAATGTCTCCCTCAGGAATGGGAGCAGCGAAGAGGACGTTTAGTGCTGGACGCAGTCCAAGTATCTCTGTGAACCTTCCTAATACAGCCCAGTGCCTTCACACAATAACAACTTGCATTTACCTGGCGCCATTAACATACTAAACCATTCTGAGGCATTATACAGGATTGCTTATTCACTAAAATGGAATGCTGAGTGGAAAAAGGAGATTGGTGGGTCGACAAATGTTTTCAGGAGGGTCTTAAAGGAAGAGGGAGAGGCAGAGACGTTTAGGGAGGGAGTTTCTGAGCTTGGGAACTGAAGCCATGGCCATCAATAGTAGAATGGTGAATGAGCAAGAGGGCAGGATGTGAGGGATGTAGAGATGTCGGTGGGTGGGATTGAAGAAGGATATAGAGATCAGGAGGCCATGGAGGAGTACAAAGCATCGAGGATAATTTTTAAATTGAAGCAGATCTGTAAGGGATTTGGAGCATGAACTATCTCCTGCCCCAAATGGCCAATAAACATGTAAGCCAGCAAACTTTGTGGGATCTCCTTTTCAACTTCTGTTTGAGAAGAAGCAGGTCTGCCTGGTTTGCCTGGGGCCAACAATTTCAAATCAAATTCCAAATCCTTGTCCTGACTGAGACAGGTTTCACAGACACACAGATTAACTGTGCATATTTGGGTTTGTCCAGTTATGTCTGGGGTGAAATGGGACTAAATAAATTGCCTACTGATGATCGTGGGAGCATAACTCTAACATTAAAACAAGTAAAATAAAACAAAGAACTGTGGAACAATTAAAGCTCCAAAGAACTGAGGATACTGAAAATCAGAAACCAAAACAGACGTTGCTGGGAAAACTCAGCAGGTCTGGCAGCATCTGCAGAGAGAGAAACAGAGCTAACGTTTCAAGATTTGAGTTGTGCAGAAGGATCACCGGACACAAAAACGTTAACTTTGTTTTTCTCTTTCCACAGACACTGCCACACCTGCTAAGTTTCTCCAGCAACTTCTGTTTTGATATAGTGAAAGCACATTTTTTGCACCCAGTTTTGCCAGCTCCAGGCTTTGTCTAACTGGTTCTCATGGCCATAGGTACTGGAAGGTGTTTACCAAGTAACCACCACAGCAAGAATCAACATGCTGTTTGACTGTGGTGTGGACTGTATCCCATTCCCCATCCTGTTTCTAAGAAACATCATAAAGATTTTATTTTATTCACTCATGGGATGTGGGCATCACCGGCTGGGTCAGCATTTATTGCCCATCTGTAGTTGCCCTTGAGAAGGTGGGGGTGAGCTGCATTCTTGAACCGCTGCAGTCCATGTACTGTGGGTTGACCCACAATGCCCTTAGGGAGGGAATTTCAGGATTTTGACCCAGCGACAGTGAAGAAATGGTGATATATTTCCAAGTCAGGATGGTGAGTGGCTTGGAGGGGAACTTGCAAGGGGGTGGTGTTCCCATGTATCTGTTGCCCTTGTCCTTCGAGATCGAAGTGGTCGTGGGTTTGGAAGGTGCTGTCTGTGGATCTTTAGTGAATTTTTGGTGAAGATGGGGAGAGTTCTGGAGAGACACAGAAATATCTGGAGGGAATTCATTACCAGCTGAAGGGCATTGCTTCTAATACATGCAGTAAGGAAATTCAGGGATGGTCAAGAGGTCAGAACTGGAGGAGCGCAAGGATCTCAGATGGTTTTAGGGCTTGAGGACATTACAGAGAGGCAGAATTTGCCATGACTTGCTGGATCAGTATTCCCCAGTGTGGGCCATTTTCCCACTCACTCATGGGAAGACCTTATTGGCCCTCATTAGCTAAGTGTCACCTACTCACACCTTCTCCAGGGCAATTAGGGAAGGGCAATAAATAAGGATCTAGCCGGCAATACCCACTTCCCTTGAACAATTAAAAAAAACCTCAATACCACAGGCTAACTGAGATAAAATTCTGCTGCCATCAGCTTTGTAAGACCATAAGATATAGGAGCAGAATCAGACTATTCAGCCCATTGAGGCTGCTCTGCCATTCAATCATGGCTGATATCTTTCTCAACTCCATTCTCCTACCTTCTCCCCATAACTTTTGATCCCCTTCCTAATCAAGAATCTATCTGTCTCTGTCTTAAAAACACTCAATGACTTGGCCTTTACAGCCCTCTGTGGCAATGAGTTCCCCAGATTCCCCACCCTCCGGCTGAAGAAATTCCTCCTCATCTCAGTTCTAAAGGGGTCATCCCTGAATCATCCTTGAGTATAACAGACACCATCCACACACACCCTGACCACCTTCCCCCTCCCCCAAAAAACCCAAGACTGGATGAGGAGAGATGCCTGTTAGAAACACAGGCTATGTATAATACTCAAACAATTTTTGCAAATGTTGCTGTTTAATTGTTCCTCAGATTTTGAAGGGCTACTTGCAAGTGAGTATGGATCTCTGAGTGTGGAATGCCACTTATTTATTGGCTGTTGTTGGGGTGGAATGAGGTCAGAATATTTCTGCAGCACTGGGCTATCATGCAACCCATTTTGTGCCAAGCTTTTTCCATGCCCAGAGCATGTGCAGTGAAGTAGTTTAACCTGTAATAAAGAGTGATAGAATCGCACAACTCATCTTGAGGATAATGGCAGGGTTTAATTGCAGCAGTGTAGAGAACATGTTTCAGCTTGTGAGAGTGTCCATAAATGTAACATAGGTTCTTCTAAAATTACTAATCCATTCAGGAGAAACATCTTTAGCCAGAGAGCAGAGAGAATGTGAGACCAGCTGCCACATGGAGGTTTTAGTTCATTTATTCATGGGATGTGGGCATTGTAGACTGGGCCAGCATTTAGTGGCCATCTCTAATGGCCCTTGCGAAGGTGGTGTGAGCTGCCTTCTTGAAATGCTGCAGTGCGCAGGATGGAGGGATGCACACAATACCCTGAGGAAGGGAATTCCGGGATTTTGACCCAGCGACAGTGAAGGAACGGCAATATATTTCCAAGTCAGGATGGTGAGTGGCTTGGAGGGGAACTTGCAAGGGGTGGTATTCCCATGTATCTGGGAAGTGGTCATGGGTTTGGAAGGTGCTGTGTGAGGATCTTTGGTGAATTTCTGCAGTGCATCTTGTAGATGCTACACACTGCCGCTACTGAGCTTCAATGGTGGAGGGAGCCGATGTTTGTGGATGTGGTGCCAATCAAGCGGGCTGCCTGGTCATGGATGGTTTCAAGCTTCTCCAGCCTTGTTGGAGCTGCACTCATCCAGGCAAGTGGAGAGTATTCTGTCACACTCCTGGCCTGTGCCTTATAGATGGTGGACACGCTTTGGGGAGTTGGGTGGTGACTTTCCTAGCTTCTGTGTCTTGCAGCCACAGTATTGATTTGTCTGGTCCAGTTCATTTTCTGGTCAATGGTAATCCCCAAGATGTTGACAGTGGGGGCGTCAGAGATGGTAAACACCATTGAACATCACAGATCAATGTTTAGATTCTGTCTTGTTAGAGACGGTTGTTGTTGGCTTTCGTGGTGTGAATGTTATTTGTCATGTATCAGCTCAAGCCTGGATATGGTCCAAGACTTGCTGCATATGGACATGGACTGCTTCAGAGTAATTGTGGTGAATCGAGTAGAAGCAGTTAAGGAGAAGCTGGATCCACACATGAAAGAAACTGAAGCAGCTGTTGAAGGAGGAAATGATTGATGGTGGGTGAAGGTTGGCAGGAGTGTAGTGTTGGATAAAATGACCAGGGGTTTTGCCTTTGTTATGATTCATGCTCCTGATCATTAGCTAGTCAGCCATTTCCAAATCCACACCAGTACCCAGGGGAATTTCATGAGAACACCCTCTTGATGCTTGAAGCATCATCATTGGACACTTCCTGTCCACTTACTAGTCATGTGATCTCCTGGGTGAGACTTGAAATGAGTGGTAAAAAGAAGCCAAGCTGAACAAAGGGGACCTTCCCTTCCAATCTCCCTGGAGTTTGTGTTTGGGAGAGAAGAATACATCTTTGGCCAGCTCCATAGCTAGATCTTAGGTCAGTGACAGCCTTTATAAAGGAAATTGGATTAACTGGGGAATGGAAAATTCGAGAGAATTTCTCCCAGAGATGATATAACGAGAGGAATGAAACCTTTCTTCTCAAACTCTATGAATGAATAGGATTTTACAGGTGAGGTGACATCTCGATGGAGTGGCTTCATTTGAAATACTAATGGGCTTGAGATGACATTGTGTGGATGGTCGCCAGTGGTTGAATGAAATCCTGTGTCTCTATCGTTTGACCACAATGACCTCCCAAAGTGCTTCAGATGATGGATTAGCTTGAAGTACAGGGTCTGACTTTATTGGCAAACCTTAGTCACTAGTACCACTTCACACAAAAAAATCTAACTACACAACGATAGTTAATCTATCAAGTCCCAGTGAAAGAAGTGAAGTCGGGTAAATTTGGGCAAGATTAGCTAAACACTTCAACAGGACAAAGTTTATGTGGTGTGGGACTAATTGGATAACTCTTTCAAAGAGATGACTCTGCCATGATTGGCCTCATGTGCCAGAGATTCTGGATTTTCTTTATTTGGACTTAGGTGTAGGCCCTTCGGCCCTTTGAATGTGCAAAGTCCAAGAGTCGAAACAGTTTTTTTAGTGACGATAAGCTATTCTCAGGCCTCTTCTCAAAATTTGCTACTCTAGGCCCCCAAAACCCATCCCCAGTTTTCTATTCCAAATCTCTTTGGCTATACCACTGTTCTAATCTTCAGGCTTCTGCATGGCGTGGATTTGAGAAGTGTGTTTTTTTTTTCTCTTTTTTTTGTTTTTCAAATTCAGGAAAGGGTAAAGCTTGATGCTGAGGAAAGAGAAGTGCAGAGACTACAGTCGCATTGCCATGAGTTGAAGAGCCAGCTTGATAACTGCCCTGAATCAATGAGGGAGCAGTTACAGGACCACCTCAAAAGGGTCAGTTTTTCCTACCTCATTGGCTTTCCCTCCCTGTGGATCGTGTGACCTCTCTGTCCTTATACAGTGGCTGATTCCAGGTACTTAATGTCACTGCATAAAGGCAATTAGGGAGCCTGGAATCAGAAGCGTTTAATAAGGTATTTACGGTCGCCCAGACACAGCATAAAACCCAAGAGATTTGGGAGAAGCTTGGAATGACTCTTGCATGATTGAATAAGTCTTGCATTTTGTTGGTTTTTCTTTTGGTTGATTTAAATTGGATCCAATTTGTTGGAATGCCTTAAGAAACTGCTTTTATAAATACTATTAACTTTGCTTTGTCATTACTTATTAATATACTGTGGCCAATTGCACTGAAGAGTTTTTGAAGGGTTATGTTGAAAACTTCAACTAGATATTTTGCTGATAGTTTTTGAGGGCTCGAGACAGCAAGACAGATTGAGTAGTCAAACTCTTGGTATGGTAAGTGAGTCTTAAGTGAATCACATTGAGGTCCTCTGGGAGGACTTGCAGCTGAGCAGAAGCACAGGGAACAGGTTTGACGTTCTTTCTCTCTGCTGTTAGTTACGGAATCTCTCATGACCTGTTCTAGGAAGTGGAGACTCTCGAATCTGAAGCCAAACTCTTTGAAGACTTGGAGTTTCAGCAGCTGGAGAAGGAGAGTCGCCTAGAAGAGGAACGGGAGACTGTGAGCCAGCAGCTTCAGCAGGACAAGGCTGAATACCAGCGCAGCACCATGCGGAGAAAGGTACAGGCCCCTCTCAGTACCTGAAACCCTTGCTTCTTCCCCTCCCCATGCTGCAGGTTCACTGACACTGGGTGGTGAACAGCTGGGACCTGGGTTTGAATTCATCAATTGCATTGCCTCACATTGTCTTGGGCTATCCCAGAGTGCCTCACATTGTCTTAGGCTGTCCCAGAGTGCCTCACATTGTCTTGGGCTATCCCAGAGTGCCTCACATTGTCTTAGGCTATCCCAGAGTGCCTCACATTGTCTTGGGCTATCCCAGAGTGCCTCACATTGTCTTGGGCTATCTCAAAGTGCCTCACATTGTCTTGGGCTATCCCAGAGTGCCTCACATTGTCTTGGGCTATCCCAGAGTGCCTCACATTGTCTTGGGATATCCCAGAGTGCTTCATAAAACCTTCTGAAGCACAGTGTCCCTGTCATAAGGTAGGAAAACCTGATGGGCCAATTGATTCACAGCAAGATCTCACAGGCCACAAGATTTCTGGGATGACATGATTATCTTATGAGGAGAGAGTGAGGACGTTGGCTCTGTGTTCCCTAGAGGCTTAAAGAATGAAGGCTGGACCTCTTTGAAACTTATAAAACTTTTTCAGAGCGTGACAGGATGGTTTAGATAGGTTGCTGCTAAGTCTTGAACCAGGGGAGATAATCTCAGGATAACAGGTAGGCCATTTAGGATTGAGATGAGGATGGATTTCTTCACTCAGAATTCTCTACCTCAAATGGCTGTGTCACTTGAGTATGTTCAAAACAGAGATCAGTAGATTTCTGGGCACTAATGACATCAAGGAATACTGGGATAGTGCAGGAAATTTGCATTCAGGAGATGATCAGAGAGGATGCAAATGAAGGGTGGACCAGGCTTGCTGGGCTGGATGGCGTACTCTTGCTCCTGTATTCTACTTCAAAAAATAACAACTTAAACAGAAGTCAAGTCCATATTTTTACATGAGACCTTTGTTTGTTGGCCACATTCCATAATGCCCACACACCAATGATTACTAGCTCCCTATATTTATACAATCATTCAAACCCTTGATGAGTTTATCCATCTCTGTTCCCTCATCCATTAGGTCTCTGGCACCCCTCAGACCACTGATAGTCCACAATATCATATTGATCATCCCCGAATCCTGTGTTGCTGAAGGTTGTGATGATGCTCAATTGATGATTAGCTTCTGGGATTGAGAGATCTGTTTGATACCAAGGGAATGAAGAGAAACGGGGCCTAGGCAAGAAAGTAGATTTGAGGTGAAAGGTTAGCCTTTATCTCACAGAACACCAGAGAAAAGGTGACAAGTGGCCTACTCCTGTTTTGGTTATGCCATTATGACCTGGTAGTCTTTTTCATTATTCATTCATGGGATGTGAATACCCATCCCTAATTGCCCAGAAGGCAGTTAAGACTCAGCTACATTGCTGCAGATATGTGTCATATGCAGGCCAAACTGGGTAAGGACTTACTTCCCCAATGCAAAGGGCATTAGTGAACCAAATGTGTTTTTACAACAATCAGCAATGATTCTGTAGACTAACTTTTAATTCCAGATTTTTATTCACTCAAATTTCATTACCTGCCAGGGTTAGATTTGAACCTATGCCCCACAGCTTTGGGCTGTGTTTCTGGATTGCTAGTCAGTGGCAATACCACTGTGCCACCTCTTCCCTATTATTGATATTGGTTGGGGGATGTATATTGACCAGAGCAGCAAGGAGAAATCAGCACCTCCTCTTTAGAGTATTGGCTGTGTGATCTTATACATCCCACCAAGTAAGTTTACAGGGACCTCAGCTTCATTTCTCTCTCCTCTGTAAAGACAGCTCCTCTGACAGTTTAGTACTGCCTCGGTGCTGCATTATTGTGTCAGCCTCGATTATGGGCTCAATCATCTCCATCTTTGTTCCACAGGACAAGGTTTCTGCTTTAGAGAATCAAGCCAATCAGATTCGCTATCAGGCTCTTCAGGAGTGTGAGAGATTGACAAGAGAGAAAAACGCAATGATGCAGTTGCTTCAGAAGGTACTGGTGTCTGAAATAATTTGAATAATGGATTGGAAGGGGGTCATCTGATCCGTGCTAATACTGGCATGTCTGTGCTAACTAGTTTACCACTCCTTCCAAAATGATACTGGGGTTCAGGGGGTAAAATTAAGACAACAGAATACCTTGTATTTTGAGGAAGGGTCACCAGACCCGAAATGTTAACTCTTGATTTTTTCTTCACAGATGCTGCCAGACCTGCTGAGCTTTTCCAGCAACTTCTGTTTTTGTTGTTGTATTCCCTCGGTTTAGTCGTTGAAAGGCTGCTCTGATTGCATTGAAAATGATGAAAGGATTTGATTGGGTAAATAAAGAGAAATGATTTCCTCTGTATAGACAATGGGGCAAAACCTGAAATTGAGAGCGAGACCTTTGTGGCGGGGTAGCGGGGGGGGATGTTGTCTGGAAACATTTCTTCTCAAAGAGGAGCGGGTGGAAATCTGGAACTGACTCCTCCTGCATGCCATTGAGATTGGGGCCAATAGGAAATTTGAAAACTTAAGAGCGATACATTTTTAATAAGCAAGGGCAATATAAAGAGTAATATAAATGAATATTAATGCTACTTAGAAAGGGGTAATATGAAAGGTAATATAGGATCTGGAACCAGAATGGGTGAACAGAGTTACGATTCAGCTCAGCCACAATCTGATTGAACATTGCAGTAGATTCGAGGGGCTGACTGGCTTCCTTGTGTTCCGAAAGGCTTTCTCATGCTCCTTCTTTTCGCACTTTAACATCCGTTTTTATTAAAGGTTTAACTGTGCTCTCTTAATTGATATCACTGCCTGACAATACTAGTTTGTGACTGAAGAGGAACATACACACTGTATAAAGCAGTGGTTACAGTTCAGCTGGCCTGATGTTACCTCCTTCCAGTGGTAACTTCTCTGCCCATTGACCGGAATATTCAATTTTGATTTTATGAACACCTTGGCAATGAGTCAATAATTGGCTGAGCTCTGGGGATAGAACAAGGGAGGGGGACAAATGGGAAAGCTCTTTCAAAATGACAAAATGGACAAAATGACCTCTTTCTGTATCATCGCACTATCGTAGTAAGTTAATACCTGTTTCAGGTGCAGGGTGGAAGGGAAGGAGGTGGACAGGGTAGGTGAATAGGCTGGATGGACCAGTCTTACCCTGCCTGGTGTAACTTCTCTAACTTCCAGCAGGAGACAGTCTATCTGTGGGCGAGGTCTCTCCTGTACATTGTGTGGCTGGCCCGCTGTGTGGTTACTCTCCACCTTACTGCAGCGATACCTTGCTGCGATTAATGTTGTGCATTTTGAAGCTCTGGTGCCTTCTAACTTAATCTTGAATCTGCATCTCAGGCTTCTCATCCCCACTTTGGGGCAAATGTGGTGTGTGTGAAAATTTGCTCCATTCACCAGATAAGAGCCCCATGGTGTTAGTCTTATATTATGGACAGAAATTGGTTAACAAACAGAAGAGAGAGTTGGGATAAGGGAGCTTTTTGAGGATGGCATCCTGTAACTAATGGAGTGCCATGGGGATCAGTGTTGGCCGCAATATTTACAATATATAATGAGTGAGTTGGATGAGAAAAGTGAATGTACTATCACCAAGTGGGCCGATGACACAAAAAGTGGTCAGAAGGTAAGTTGTGAGGATGACACAGTCTACAGAGTGATGTAGACAGAGTGGGTAAAAACTTGTCAGATGGAAGTTAGTGCAGGAAAATGTGAGGTTATGCTCTTTGGCAGAAAAAATAAAAGAGCTAAATATTAATTAAATGGGGAAAGACTGCAGAAAGCTAGAGCAGAGCGGGATTTGGAAGTCCTCATGCATGAATCACAAAAAGCTAGTATCCAAATTAAGGGTGTAAGAGGGAAGTCAAATGGAATGTTGGCCTTTATTTCAAAGGGAACAGAGTGTAAAAGTAAGGAGGTTTTGCTAAAACTATACAAGGGTTAAGAAACATATCAGCCATGATCGAATGGCACAGACTCAATGGATTGAATGGCCTAATTCTGCTCCTATATCTTATGGTCTTTTGTCACCTGATCTAAGGAAAATATACTGGCATTGGATGCATAATCCCATTGATTGGCCAAGCAGACTTGATGGGCTGAGTGGCGTATTTCTGCTCCTATGTCTTATGGTCTTAATTGGCCAAGCTGTGGAACATCACTGCTGGGTGACTGTAACTCTCACCTGCAGCCTCCCCAAAGGTGATTGACTGTGACATCCAGCTGTTCATCCACATTGCAAATACAAGCCCATGGTGTTTGATGGTAAACATTTTCTAATTTGCAAATACACTTCTTTCTAGGAAAAAGACAAACTGGCCAATCTGGAAAAGCAGTATTTTATGGTGACTGGTGGAAAAACCTTTTCCAAAGGCTCGACAGCACTAAAGGAGGTGAACTGATTTAATATTTTTCTGGTTCCTATCTGCATATTGGCAAAAAGTGCATTTACAAAGTATTTAATGAAATCAAAATGTTTCGAGGGGCTTTCCCACTCATCGTGAATGACTTATGAGGTTGACTCACTGTTATGTAAGGAAATTGCTGGGATGGGTTTGTGACTGCTGTAAAGAGTCTGTTTAAAGAGCTGAATACTTGCCTTGTTGGACCTCCTGATCAAAGTCTACCCTGCTCACTACACTGCATCACACTTCATTCATTTCAGCCTTCCCAAGCTTCCAGTTTCCACAGAAACTCTGAGGGTTTGGAGATGTATTTAAAACAACCTCTATTCATCATTGCCTTTGACATATCACCCCATGTCGATACGAAACTCTGCCATGTAAGAGCTAAATTCTTGATCACTTTCAATGGGAAAGTTGTTTGTCACATTCCCTAATTGACATAGAACTTAGAGTCATAGACAATCACAGAGTTTCAGGGCATAGAAAGAGGCCCTTTGGCCCATTGAGTCCATGCCAGTCATTAAACATCTATCTGAGCTAAACCAATTTTCCTGCACTTGGCCTGTATTGCAGTATGCTGTGGCATTCCAAGTGTGCATCTAAATTCTCATTAAGTGTCTTGAAAGTTCCTGCCTCTACCACCCATTTAGCCAGTGAGATCCAGATACTCACCACCTTCGGGGTGAGAAAGGATTTCCTCAAAGCACCTTCTAAACTTCCTGCTCCTTTCCATAAAAATGTGCTTTGTCCCGGTTATTGACCCCTCTTTGAATGGGAAAATTTCACCCTGCCTACCCTGTCTATGCCCCTCACAATTTTGTACACCTCAGTCAAATCTCCCCTCAGCCTTCTCTTCTCTCAGGGAAACAACCCCAGCCTATCTAGTCTGTCTTCAAATCTACACCCTCACATCCTGACTGTGTGATGTGCAGTTTTCAATGAGGAACTTCTGTTTCAGTTCCTGCTGCTAAGCACCAACACTCAGCTGAAATGATCCAGTACCAATGCAGGCTTCCCTCAGAACACGTAAGAAAGTGGGAAGGTGACAAGCCATTGAGACTTGACAGCCAACAACAACACCACAAAGGGAGTGGGTTTGTTGGAACATTCTTAAATGGGGATATGGCAAAATGTCAGATTTATCCCATTGGAATCCATTTCAGCCTGACTGAAAGTGAAACCTACAGCTGCTTATAGATCCTTCAATGTCTCACAGCAGCTGGCAAATTGCCAGATGTGTTAATATCAGTCAGGAAGATGTTAGAGTGTGCGTGGGCATGGAGGGGAGTGTAGGCAAAGTGTGGAGGGGGGCAAAGATGGTCTCTACCAGAACTGCAGAGATGGACAATATTGAATCCATTGTCTATTTTATTCTCTTGCCAAAGGCAGTAAACAAATTGGCACAGTGTAAAATGAATGCTGATGAACTATTACCCATTTCTGTGCTCCTGGATGAGATTTTACCCCAGAACTGGTTTCCCAGCTACCTGTTCCAAGTCTAGCAAATTTAGTCTGTTGTTGCCATCAAAGCTTGTCAAGTGCAGATGGCTCCAAGTGTGGCTCACAAGCAGCTTCATAATAAAACGTAAAAATTACAGTTGGTGGGGTGATTATCCTTGAAATATCTCTTTAAGACTGTTATTGTTTTTATAATTAAAAGGGATCTGAGCCTTCACCTTATATAGATCTTATAACTGAACTCTTGACTTTTGCCGTTGTTGGTAAATATTAAATGTTACTTGCATATTTTTAACAAAAGAACCACCAAGACTTACCATGAATTTTTGACAAAGTAATAAATTCAGCAGTCACACGACACCAGGGTATAGTCCAACAAGTTTATTTGAAATCACAAGCTTTTGGAGCACTGCCCCTTTGCCAGGGGACTATAACCTGGTGTCGTGTCACTCCTGATCTTGCTTCTCCTTCAACTTTTTCAAGCTCCACCACATCTCACCAAACCAGCACAATATTCCATTCCTTTTCCCTGCAGACTTACCCAGCTGGCCATTGACTGCATCTCTACTAATTATGTCACTGCTCTCTGTGCAATCAGTTATTTCAGGTAAAGAGTTAAAATAGTTTAGTTCTTGCTACCGGTGAACCTCTATTAATTACATTTTTAATTATCATTTAGAAGCACAGAACTTGAGTATTGCTGAAAAATGTATGGAGCTTGCTAGAACCTACTTTATTCTTCAGTAGGGACCTGACTGTTGCTGTCTTAAACAATCTGTCCAGGTATTGCACCATTAGACCGTAACCATTAGACCAAAATATATAGGAGTAGAATTAGTCTATTCAATCATGGCTGATGTGTTTCTCAACCCCATTCTCCAACCTTCTCCCTGTAACTTTTGATCCCTTTACTAACCAAGAACCTATCTTATCTATGTCTTAAATACACTCAATGACTTGACCTCCACAGCCCTCTGTAGCAATGAGTTCTACAGATCCACCACCCTCTGGCTGAAGAAATTCTCCCTCATTTCAGTTATAAAGAGTCATCCCTTCACCCTGAGGCTGTGTCCTCAGGTCCTAGTCTCTCCTATTAATGGAAACATCTTCTCCACGTCCACTCTATCCACACCTCTCAGTATTCTGTAAGTTTCAATTATAACCCCTTCACTCATCCTTTCAAACTCCATTTTCTGGATATCATTCTTTAGATACTGGGCCCAAAACTGCTCACAATATTTTATATGTGATTTGACCGGAGCCTTGTACGGCCCCAGCAGTACATCTCTGCTGTTTTATTCTAGCCTTCATGAAATGAATGCTAACGTTCCATTTGCTTTCCTAACTGCCAACTGAACCTGCATGTTAGCTTTAAGAGAATCCTGAACGAGGAGTCCTAAGTCCCTTTATGCTTTAGATTTCTGAAGCCTTTCCTGGTTTAGAAAATTATCTACACCTCTGATCTTCGTACCAAAGTGCATGACTTCACACTTTCCTACATTGTATTCCATCTGCCACTTCTTTGCCCAATCTCCTAGCCTGTCCAAGTCCTTATGCAACCTCCCCACTTCCTCAACATTACCTGTCCCTCCACCTTTATTGAATGAAGCTAAAGATTGGCAAGACATCCACAAATATCCACTCCTTCCACCAACGACGCTCAGTAGCAGCAGTGTGTATTATCTACAAGATGCACTGCAGAAATTCACCAAAGATCCTCAGACAGCACCTTCCAAACCCATGACCACTGCCATCTAGAAAGACAAGGGCAGCAGATATATGGGAACACCACCACCTTCAATTCCCCTCCAAACCACTCACCATCCTGACTTGGAAATATATCGCCATTCCTTCACTGTCACTGGGTCAATATCCTGGAATTCCCTCCCTAATGGCATTGTGGGTCAACCCACAGCAGGAGGACTGTAGCAGTTCAAGAAGGCAGCTCACCACCACCTTCTCAAGGGCAACTAGGAATGGGCATGAAATGCTGGTCCAGGCAGCATCGCCCATGTCCCATGAGTGAATTAAATAAAAAGGTAGCTTCTTGGTCCATTCTCCATGACAACGATTTGACCAATTAATGTTGTTTTGCCAACCAATCAACAGCCTTTTCTATTGCAGTATAAATTGTTCCCTTCGCAAATTGGAATTCTTGCTTCTGTCCTGATGGATGCAAGATGAAAAACATTAAGAGTTAGTCCCTTTTCTTCAGCAATATGTTTTAAATAATTATTCCATACACAGGAGTTGTGATCCCCTTGTGATCAGAACCATTCAGAAGGTCTAGTCCCTACTGCCCGAGGTTTGGTCTGGCCAGCCTATTTGAAGCAGCGAAGCACCTCCCGGTGGTTCACTGGGTACATGCATGTCTCGCTGTGGTACCAACTCAAATAAGTCTCTGGCTTGTCTTGAGGAAATTGGATTATCTTATACACTGAGAGGGAAAAATCTCCTCCAACCCCCTTGCTCCATTCCCTGCCCTCACCCTCCATCCATCGTTCTCCCACTATCCATTCCTATCCCTCCCTCTATCCATCCCAGCCCTCCCTTTCTCTGCCCATGTTGCTTCCTTCATCCATCTCCCTTGATCTTCAACATTCCCCCTCCTTCATTCCTGTTCCCCCTCCTTCATTCCTGTTCCCCCTCCTTCATTCCCAACTTCCAATCTTTATTCTTTCCCAGGATGCAGGTATCACTAACTAAGCCAGCATTTAGTGACCAACGCTAATTGCTGCTTGGAAGGGAACTTGCAGGGGTTGGTGTTCCCATGTATCTGCTGTCCTTGTCCTTCTCGGCGGTAGAAGTTATGTATTTGAAGGTGCTGTCTAAGGAGCTTTGGTGAGATGCTGCAGTGCATCTTGTAAATGGTAGATACTGCCGTCACTGTGCAGTCTGTGGTAGAGGGAATGAATGAATGTGGTGGATGTGGTGCTAATCAAGTGGGAGCTGCTTTGTCCTGGATGGTGTCGAGTTTCTTGAGTGTTGTTGGAGCTGCCCCCATCCAGGCAAGTGACTTCTGCTTCATCCTCCTCCCTTCTCTCTATCTGAATTGATCATTCTGCAAGTGGGGAGGGCCGCCACAGTGGCTCAGTGGACAGCACTGCTGCCTCACAGCGCCACAGACACAGGTTCAATTCCAGCCTTGGGCGACCATCTGTGTGGAGTTTGCACATTCTCCCAGTATCTGTGTGGGTTTCCTCTGGGTGCTCCAGTTTCCTCCCAAAGGTGTGCACGTTAGGTGGATTAACCATGGGGAATGCAGTGTTACAGAAATAGTGTAGAGGGGTGGGTCTGGATGGGATGCACTTCAGAGAGGCAGTGTGGACTCGATGGGCCAATTGGCCTGTTTCCACACTGTAGGGATTCTACGAGTACACGGTCTTTTGTGGTCAAAGATACTCACAAATGAAGAGTGGAGGTGGGACAAGTGGGACACCAATGCACGTAGAAACAGAGCCAAGTGTGAGAGATCACCTTTGAAGAGGGGTAAGGAGAAGTTATCATTGGCATTTGCGTTGAATCAGTGAACTAACACTAGAGTTAATTAAACTTTGAGAATTTTTCACAAGGATATTCTGAATTAAGCTTGGTATTTGCATGCTATTATCATTCATCGCAATGCTACTTCAACCTTTGCCCTTTGAACAGGAAATGCTTCACATCACAGAGCCTAACGACATATTAGAGGAGTCTAACCCCCAGCATTGCCTCCCAGGAAAGGCAGCTTCTCTATTCCCCTCTCCTTCCATCCCAGCGTACCCCAAGATACAGGAGGTAACTGACTAACACTTTCTGCATGCTACATGTTTATTTTTGTTAGAAACACCTCTGATCCTCATGCTGCTAGTCAGAAAGACTCACTACATTAAGGGCAAGACAGTGCAATATGTTTGAACCATTGTTTCTGATTTTCAGGGTCCGGATTCTCAATCACAGCAGATTCAGGTTGCCAGCTCTGGTTGGACATATTCCTGTCAGTCACCTCATGATTTGTTCCAGTAACTTGCACCACTCCTCTCTAGCACCATGGCTTTTGTTGCTTTGTTGAAAAAAACTAACAAATGTTCCAATTTAATAAATAACACATTCTTTTCATGAACCTAATGGTTTTTAGTACCCAGCAATATCGTAGAAATTAGTCTTTAATCATTGGAGACTCCTGAACATTCCTGGAGAGTTGGCAATCTGATGGAAGTTTGAGTAAATGTGTTTTTAATGATCTAGTTCTTGATTTATCAGAAATTTAGTCTTGGTATCAATTTCTTAATTAACCTTGTTTACTTTCTTGCTTGTTTTAACGTTGGTGATGATTGCCAACCTGGGTTGTATGTATATTTCCCATTCAAGACTCTGCTGCCCATACCCAAACTTACAACCAGTCCTGTCCCCCACTCCCGCTCATGTTCACTGACTGCTGCTGGCATCTTCTGCTTCGATTATTAAAATTTGTATCTTTTGATTTAAGTCGCTCCATGGCCTTTTACTCACCTCCCTCCCAATCCCACCCCGTACCTATAACCTTCACCAGCCTCACAGAACTGCCCTCTTGCTCATCCCCAACTTTCACTGCTTCACCAGCCTTATCTCCTTGGACCCTTTGTAAACTCCCCCATTTCTCTTTCCTCCTCTTTGACCAAAGTTTAACCATCTGTCATGTGACTCCCTTATGTGGCTCAGTGTCAAATTCCATTTGGAGAACAATCCTGTGAAGTATCTTTGGGCATTTCGTGGTGCCACAGGTGCTATAGAAATGCAAGTCTTTCTTGTGGTGGTACAGAAGTTTCATCTAAACTCTAGCTGGCCTTGATTCCACATTGCAGTATCTCAGAGCAGAAGGATAGGAAGACACTTGAATCATTAAGCACAGTATGACAGATCTCACTGATTTGCATAAAGGGTTGATCTTAAGGTTTAAAAATAGTGTGGTGTTGGTAAGGTGACAGTCAAAGGTCTCAGTTACATCATTGAACGACATTTTGTAATTGAATATTATTTAATGTTACATAGAATTTCCAGACAGGAAAATGGGCCACTCTGCCCGTCTGGTCCATGTCCGTGTTTATGTTGCACATGAGCTTCCTATTCACATTCCACCATCACATACCACGTTACATTCTGTCATGTTTCTCCAGCTCCCTGTTAAAAAAACATCCACACTCTTCACTTCAAGCACTCCCTGAGTGAGTGAGATCCACAACTACCTAGATAAAGACATTGTTCCTGATGCCCTTTTGGATTTATTAACAACCCTTTATGTTAATGACTCTGCAAGTGAAACCATTTCTCAATGTCTTACCCTATCATTCTTCTTTGTAACGTTACCAACCTCTTTCACTTCACCCCTCAGCCTTCTCTTTTCTAGAGAGAAGACTCCCAGTCTATCCACACTCACCCCGATGATGTGTTCTCTCAGTTGTAATAAACATAATTACTTGACAACATGAAATATAAACTCACCAAACACTCACTCAGGAAATTGTTACCAGATTTAGTTTTTGCTGCTTTTCCCAAGTTCCTCTTTTCTTGAAACTGTTGACTCTGTGGAAGAACACACTTCCCCTGAAGTGCGACTGTCCTTGCCAAGTTGGCCATTCTCGCTGTGTCAGGCCGGATGTTGACCAGTAATTGAGCAGTGAGGCCATAGCATCTGGTCCCAATGTCCGCACGCCTGTGTTTTCCAGCAGAACTCAGTGCCTGGGCCTCGGAACACTGACTCATCTTCTACTCCCTGTTCAGCCATGGACTCTGAGGCCTGGACATAGAGATTTGTTCTCTTTCTGATCACATCTGTCTCTCTCTTTATTCTTGTGCCAGATGGACATGGCAGTCCTGCATGAGCCATCCTCCCCAACAAAACACCAGTGACATCTACCATTCTATTTCTTTGCCCTTGCTTTCCTTCTACACTTGTTATAGTTTCACCTTCTGTCACTGATGTGGTCATTGGAGAAACTAGGCAACAGCCATAAGACCAGGCCATTCAGCCCCTCAAGCCTGTTCCATCCCTGAATGAGTGACAATGAGTATCATAATTCTATGCATCTTTTTAATATCCCAGCTTAACTAGAATCTCTCAATCTCAGTTTTTATGTATTCCATTGACCCACGCTTTAAACCCAACAGTTTTTTGATGAAGATTATTCCAATTTTTTTTTATTTGTTCATTAATTCGGTCAGCATTAATTGCATATCTCAGTCTCTACTCTTATTTATGAAGAAATGTTTTCTTGCCTCTGAGCTATCAAGCCTTTTTATGGAGAACTGATGGTGCAGTGGTGATGTCATTGGATTTTACCACCCAGGGGCCCAGGTGAATGGTTTAAAAGGCCACTGCTGCCCGAGGCTCACATGCAGGAGACAGCATCCTTGGCATCTGCTGCATCTGGGCAAATAGTGAAGGCTCCTAGGTCCCACTGATCATTGGAAAATCCCACTAACATGGTGTAGAGGTAGGATGGAACCAGGTAACTCATGTGCTAGCATGGCGGATGATTCCCAGCTCTTGCCCAACAGTATTCCTGGCCCTGTCAGGTACTCAACATCCTTCTTGCGGTGGTCAACTTAAGACACTCCCTGAGCGCACTCAGCAATGGTTAGATCCAGAGTAGAGATCTCTCTTACGCTGCTGTGATCAACTGCCCATTCACTATGTTAAACATCGTCACCCTCACTGTGCTGTCTTCAGGATGTAAAGGGCCAAGGCTCCTCGGGCAGCACCTCAAAGGGAAAAGACAGCAGTCACGTAGGAAGGCCTCACCTCCAAGTTGCATGTTAAACCCACTCAGGAAAATGTTGGTCATTTTTTCCGTGTTACTGAATCAAACGCTGGAACCCATTCCCAATCAGCCCTATGTGTGTGAACCACACGGACTGCAATGGTTCAGGAAGGTGGCTCAGCACCACCTTCTCAAGGCAGTTAGGGACAGGCAAGAAAAGCGATGTCCTCATTCCAAGAAACAATTTTTAAAAATGTGCCTTCGCAACAAACTCAGAATGAATCTCCCCAGTTACCAATTTTGTGCACCAGCCTTTCTGGGGTCTTAGCGATACCATTGATCTCGAATCCAGTTTAGAGGGGTTACCGTAGGTCATGTCTATCAAGAGACAAGTTGAAACTACTCACAGACCTTTCACAAGAAGCTGCAAACTGCTCTTGGAGGCAGGATCTCCAACCTGTTTGCCTTGGCTACGTTCAAACCAAGATCATAGTGTTGGAAGATCAATGTTTGAACACATTACAACACATCAGCCCATAAACCTAGTCATTTCACTGTCAACACAGTGTGGAGTTGAAGGAACACAGCAGGTCAGGCAGCATTAGAGGAACAGGAAAGTCGACGTTTCGGGTCGGGACCCTTCATCAGAACACTGCTTTGCATTGACAGGCTAGTAATATGTCTAAATCAGTTCTTTTAAATACACCTACAATATTTGCCATATAAATTAATAGACTGATAGAGTTGTACAGCATGAAAACAGACCCTTCAGTCCAACTCACCGACCAGATATCCTAAATTAATCTAGTTCCATTTGCCAGCATTTAGCCCTTATCCCTCTAAACCGTTCCTGTTTAAATATCCATCCAGACTCCTTTTAAATGTTGTAATTGTACCAGCCTCCACCACTTCCTCTGGCAGCTCATTCCATTCATGCACCACCCTCTGCATGAAAAAGTTGCCCCTTAGGCCCCTTTTAAATCTTTCCCCTCTCACGTTAAACCTATGCTCTCTAGTTTTGAACTCCCCTACTCTGGGAAAAGGACCTTGGCTATTTACCCTATCCATGCCCCTCATGATTTTATAAATCTCTATAAGGTCACCCCTCAGCCTCCAACGTTCCAGGGAAAATAGCCCCAGCCTATTCAGCCTCTCCCTATAGCTCAAATCCTCCAACTCTGACAACATTCTGGATAATCCCGAGAAGGGAAAAAAGGGATAATCCAGGAAACTATAGACCAGTGAGTCTCACGTCAATGGTTGGGATGCTATTGGAGAGAATCATAGGGATAGGATTTATGCGCATTTGGAAAAGCATGGCCTAATTAGGGACAGTCAGCATGGTTTTGTGTGGAACAAGTCATGTCTTGCTAACTTGATTGAATTTTTTGAGGAGGTGACCAAGGTGATCAATGAGGCTGGAGCAGCGAATGTTGTCTATATGGATTTTGGTAACACTTTTGACGAGGTCCCTCATGGTAGGTTCATCTAGAAGATTAAGAATCATGGGATCCACGGTGACTTGGCTACATGGATTCAGAATTAGCTTGCCCATAGAAGGCAGAGGGCAGTGGCGAAAGGGTGTTTTTCTGGCTGGAGGTCCGTGACTAGTGGTGTTCCGCAGGGATCCATATTGGGATATCTGTTGTTTGTGATATATATAAATGACTTGGATGAAAATGTAGATGGGTGGGTTAGTAAGTTTGCAGGCAATAGAAAGATCAGTGGAATTGTGGATAGTGTAGAAGGTTGTCAAAGGATACAGCGGGATATAGATCAGTTGCAGATATGAGCAGAGAGATGGCAGATGGCGTTTAATCTGGGTAAGTGTGAACTGCTGCACTTTAGGAGATCAAATGTTAAGGAAAAGCATACAGTTAATGGTGGGACCCTGAACAGCATTGACGTACAGAGAGATCTTGGGGTTCAAGTCCATAGCTCCCTGAAAGTGGCCACACTAGTAGGTAGGGTGCTAAAGAAGGTGTATGGCATGTTTGCTTTTATTGATCGGGATATTGAGTACAAGAATCAGGATGCCATGTTGCAGCTTTATAAGAC